ACTTGTAACAGTCAACTTTTTTAATTGCGATATGTCTATCATCTGGGTTGCAGTGAATTCGGATTTAATATTTCTTAACTTCTCTGTTAACTCTTTATCTTTCATTTGAAGTATCGTTATTCTCTCATTCCTTTTGTGCGATAATGTTTCAGTACTGAGTTTTAAATTTTCAATGACACTCTGTAACTGCGAATGTATTTTTGGATATTGTGATATAGAAGCCTGACAAGCATCATCCTGTTCTTTTAAATATTCATATTGCTTTTTTTTCTTGTCGACTATTCTTTGATATTCATTTATTACATTGCATAAACGGTCCCAAAATTTGTCAATGCTCAGAAAAGACTGTTGCTCAAGATCTGATGCAATGTTCTCCTCCTATTTATAAAATATATTTATAAAATACAATTCAATAACTTTTTAGAATACATATTAATATTTTTACCAAGTATAAGATGGTAAAGATGTTGACAGCATTTTGTGTTTTCCTTATAGTTTGCATTTGATCGAAAAGTGCATATTTCCTCTTTAAAGTATTAGTAAGCTTTTTATTACAATCATTCCCGTAATCCTTCAATCGATTTAATTCAATCAGAGCGTTTAGTTTAATATTACTGATTTTATACGTTTCATGTAAATCTTCCAATGTCTTTTTATATTTTCCTACAGAATATTTTCATTTAATTATAAAATAATATAATATCGTGTAGACAATTTTATAATATACCAATTATTTTATCAATCAATATAATATGACTCTCTTGAAGTCTTCTATGATCTGCATCGGCTATTCCTAATTCATTATACAGGCAAGAAATCGTTGAGTCTTTATTTTTAATTGCTCTGTCGAATGTTGCGCAAAGATATTTTACATCTTCGTAAAGTTCTTTGCATTTTATTTGTCGTAATACAAATCTCCATTTCTCATTAATCTTAGCAATGTTCAATTTTGAAAATACCTCCTCCCGTTTTAATTTAGTCTATAATAATTCAAATATTACGATAAGTTTACATCTACTTAAAATAACATACAAGATTATAACAATTAATACTACCTTAGTGAAAGTGGCAATCAATTGTTGTCGACGCCTTTTAGCTTCTAATTCGAATTCAAGGCGATGCTGCATATATCGCGCGCGTTCTTCCTCGTTCATACGAGCGAGTTTATTACCTTTATTTTTGCTTTTTTTCCCCATTTTGTATTGTTTCTCTTCATCTACGTAATTAATACCTTGTACTACAGTACGCTCATCGAGTATTACGATATTGGTGTGTTTGATCAATATCATAAGAAAATTAAGGATGTATTGGCTATACAGTCAATCCCAAAAGTTTATGCACTTTAGAAACGCATTTTTTAAAAAGAAATCAGACGTCGGAAGAATATTGCTAATAATAAACAACAACAAAAATTTTTCGATTTTTCCAAGATTTTTCCAAGGGGTACGCCTTCAATTTCTTCCAAATTTTCGTTTTTGGCCAAGAATTCCCAAACCGTTGGACATACGGAAAAATTGCATCAGACCTTTTTTGTAGAGGACAATGAGATCTACAATTTCTGTATAAAAGTTTTTCGCTAGCGTCAATAGTTTACGAGTAATTTGCGAAAAACTATTTTTTCGTTTTTCGTCAATAACTCGTTAACTGTCAATACTAACGAAAAACTTTTATACAGAAATTGTAGATCTCGTCGTCCTCTACAAGAAAGGTCCTATGCATTTTTTCCGTAGGTCCAACGGTTTGGAAGTTATTGAGGAAAAACGAAATTTTTTGTCAAAAGTTCGCTGATTCGACGGTGGAATGGTCGGATTTTGTCAACATCAATAAAATGCCAAATAATCATACGTAACTCGTTAAATATCGAAGTTAGAAGGAAAATAACTTTTATTTGAAGCATTTTTCGAAATTAAAAAAAAAAAAATTGTCGTCAGCGTCAATACTTAATTGGATATTTCCTTCTATACTTTTTAGCACGTAGCTATTTATTATTAGCATTATTCTTCCGACGTCTGATTTCTTTTTAATTATAGGAAATGCGTTTTTCTAAGGTACATAAACTTTTGGGAGTGAATGTATAGCCAATACATCCTTAAATACTAGACATGCAATTTTATATTGTATACTATTTCGCTGTTTCTATCTCTCTCCTTTCGTTATCTCCTTCTCTCAGTGACATCGAAACGAGCGTGATCAAATGTATGATAACTTGTCCATGACGTTATGTAACATTCTTCAGTAATCATGTATTATTTTTAGAAAGATTGTTGTAATATAATTGAAGAATTAGCATTATTTTACAAATGCATGAACGTATTTACTTTATTGAAGCATCAGAATTACCAGAGATTACATAGTGTAAAAGATTCTCATATTGCAAGAAATCAGGAATGATACTCGGACTCAGATTCAAACTGTAACAGTTGTAACATCGTATATTTTCTAATAATAATTTGTTCATTATTTTTAGTACTGTTTCAGAATATAGATGTTTAGGCTTTTGTAATTCCAACAACCCCGCAAGCAAGACGAGCACCTGCGTTCCCTGTGGTTTTTGACAACTCATGGCCTCCTTTGCCAAGGTCGTCCGGATCAGCGTGAACCTGTTACAAATATCGAATCAATTCCAATTTAATATCATATCCATTATGATTAATTATAAACAGTTCAGAAACAAATGTATTATGCAACATCTTACCACGAGAGTTCTGCCAATTATGCTGTTTGCTCCTTGAAGCTGAATCATCTTGTCAGTTATGGCAACATTAGCAACACCATCTGTATTTGCTTCAATGTTTCCTAAGTCACCAACGTGACGTACATCTGAGTCTGGACCACCATGATCCTTATTAAGTGGATTGAAATGTGGTCCAGCACTTGTGCAACCTATTGAATATATAAATCAATTGCAGTGCCTATCTATAATTATTACAATAATGATAATTCCCCAAAGATTTTAAAGCATTAACTTTAGCTAGAATGTGAAGATTACATATTATTGGAAACCTTTAAACTGTTAGCATCATGGTTCTATCAAGCACATCTATAAGTTGATTATACATCATTTTTATAAAGAGTTTAGTAAAAAATATAGATCTCTTGATAACAATACATACCATTAGTGTTATCACCGAATTCATGAATGTGAAAACCATGTAATCCCTTTTTTAAGCCGGACACTTGACCGCTGACCTTGACCGCAGATCCATCCTACTCGGCAATTACATTATGAAAGTTATAAATAATACAGAATAATAAAGTATCGTAAAAGAAATCAGTGATATTATTTACCTGTTCGAAGAATACAGTGCCTTTAGCATCACCTTGAAGAACGCACACGGCTTTAACCATTTTCGGAAAATTGGCGACCACACCGAACGACGATTACTTTGAAAATGTGGCTATCCGGCAACGACTATCCGTTTAGTTACAAGATATAATTGTCGTTTTGCTGAATCATGAATGCAAATACGTTGACGTATCGTGTATTAAGTATGTACTTCAATTGATAAAACGATGACCTTACCGTTCAGTCCAAGTAATGGCGTATCAGGCGAACGCGGCGAACGCGAGCTCTCAATCAATGACCGTCAACGAACGTAAATACACGGGACGAGCGGAAGAATCCTCCACGGTTACAGCAGTAGAAGAATATGAAATGATTTCTTACTTTAGATGACTTTAGATCTGGCGCTCGAGGTGGCGTGTTCACGTATTAAACAATTTTTACAAATATATACTGCGTTACGTTACGTATATGTGTTATTATAAATTACAATTGTTATATTTCTGTTTGAAGTTTCGCCAATTGCCCGCTGATAAAGATGGCCCGCAGCTAGTTTCAAGTCAAGCGTTTCGTGAATAGTGGTTTGTGTTGTTATTTCTTTATTAAATCGTACCACCAAATTTAATAATAAAAATGCCAGGTGTGGAACACCGTTCGGTAACACCGTTCATACAATGGATTCGACTAATAGGTCGAGGAGTGAGTAACATTAAAGTTGTTTATCATTTTAACCCAAATTTTGTATTGCACGATTTTTCTATAAATTACATAATTCTTTTTATTTTTGGGAAAAGATGGCCCGCAGCTAGTTTCAAGTCAAGCGTTTCGTGAATAGTGGTTTGTGTTGTTATTTCTTTATTAAATCGTACCACCAAATTTAATAATAAAAATGCCAGGTGTGGAACACCGTTCGGTAACACCGTTCATACAATGGATTCGACTAATAGGTCGAGGAGTGAGTAACATTAAAGTTGTTTATCATTTTAACCCAAATTTTGTATTGCACGATTTTTCTATAAATTACATAATTCTTTTTATTTTTGTTATTAATATGTATATTTAAAATGTCTTCCTAAGTCTAACTTTGTGTAAATATAAATTGGTTGGTACATTTACATTTTTGTGCATTTGTATAAGCATCTTTTATTTTCTGAGTTCTCAATATTTTTGTAAATGTCATAAATGTAGATCTTAATTACACAAAGATGAAAAATTATGTACAAAGTTACAAGAGATGTAAATATTCTAGAGGAAATTTATAGAATGTTTGAGGCATGCTGATGGTCTGGCTTCACGTACACAGCCTCCTCCCAATATACCTGGGGGACCATATCACAAAACTTCAAAGGTATATTACTATACACGCGATGCCAGACGTTTAGTTCAACCACCAGTTGAGATATATTCACAGGAACAAATAGGGTAAATATTCTTGCATATTCATTGTTTCTTTAGTTGCTTTTAATATAAAAAATATTTAATAGTATTTAACTCTCATATGAATATTATATTTTAGGAAAATTGATCCTGCTCAAATAAAACTGACAGCACCGCTTAAACCACGCTTACCTGATAATTAATTATAGTGGAATACTCATGATTAGTTGTACTCTGTGCATAGCATATGATGTATAATATTAAATAATAATCGTAAATCTAATAGCGTTAATGTGATATTTAAAAATGAATTAAAGATTCTTTAATCATTTCGTCTTTAATGTTTAACCAATAATAATACATAAATAATAGTTAAAGGAATGTTTTTCATATACAGATTTCCTCCTGCCTTAATACCAGGCATATAGAATAATTTCGTCCACTTTATAATACATTACCGTTACATAAATACAGAGCATAATTTATGCTTTCATAGAATTTATGAGTCTAAGAGTAACATTGACACTGAGGGGTTTGTACAGGCTGCAGATTTGATGCTGCTGCATCTAACAGTATAATACATAATATATTCGTTCAACAATCTTTGCATAAATAATAATCTTTGATCTTATATAAATTAACAATCGTGAACGGAAGTCATTTGGGAAGGATAATTTAATACGGTATTTGATTCTGATAATACTGTATCATGTCGTAAGTTCTCGTACGGAAATTGAGGTAGCTGTTACGTATTACATTGAGCATATAGGCCGCCGCTTCGCGATCAGTCGCCAACGGCACGAATCTTCCGCGCAGGAGCTTTATGGTTTGTCCACGGAAACACGGCAATCCAGTATCGAGCATTAAGGATACCAAAGAAATAATTACCTCTTGATAGGGTCTATGAAATAATACAATTTGATTTAAATTATAGCAAGAGACAATTTGTGAAAATATTTCAATTACATTTACCTCACGGCAAGGAAAGCCTGGACGCATAGCTCCATGAACCAGCGGAAAGGCGCGGCCTCCATTTTACCACCCATTACGAGCACCATTTCGTCAGTTAATTTTATGTCAGGCTCGAAGCCTAGATTACCACCAGGAGAACTTTCGAACATGAATCCAAAATCGATATGTATGATGTGACCTTCTGTGTCCAGCATGATGTTGCCATTATGCCGATCTTTTATTTGCAGGAGGTACGTAATGACGCTGTACGCAGCCATTGACCTTACGAAATTACGACGAGCGTTCTGAAAATCTTTCGATGTCTCATCCCCGTAACGCGTAATAAAATATTGATGCATGTCGATGTCTGTAGTGCGACCAAGTTGATCGCGTGACGTCGCGTTTGGAACGCATTCTATCACTCCACACTGAAACGAAGAACAATAAAATGAAAATAATCGTTACAACATTTATATAAATAAAATCATTAGAGTTACTTACTCCTGGCGCCGTAGCCACTACTCTGTACGGGAACAAGAACAAGTTCAACCCAACTTTTTGAAATATATTCTTGAAAATACTGATCACTTGTAGAGCTAGCATATCTTGTCTAACATCATCGCCCACTTTGAAAATAGCTGCTTGCCAAGTTTCCTTCTTCTCTGTTTCCCTTTTCACATCCGCTTTGCCATTAGCCGATACTGCTAATGCAATATTCTCTAATTCATTAATTCCGTATCTTTGTACTTTGAAACGCGCCAAGAATGGTGCTTTTGCGGCACTGTAAATGACGACAGTACGTTTAAATATTGATATAGTAAAAAGAAAGCGTTCATAGTAATATTAACTTACCTTTGCATAGGGGTACCACTTTGATAATCGATATCAATTACCATAGCTTCAGGATTAGATGGTAAATAGCAACCAGGTTGCACTTTGATTAGCGACAAGGCTTTTAGGCACGCTGCTTTGCGTTCAGGACCTTTAGGGTACGGCCTTATTTCGCCTGAAATATTCGTGATCTTTTCAAAGAAGTCGAATTCCCTTTCGTAGAATTGTTTCGCTTGGCCGGACAATGAGCCCAAAATATTTTTCACTAATGAATCTAGTATATCATAGAGAACTGGATCTCTTATTTGCTTATCTTCGTCCACAAACATATTCGTATGCATGTTCCAAATTAATTGATGCGCTACTACCTATAAATACACCATAGAAATGAACAATGAAAAAATTTCGAAATTAGGAACTATTTAAAAATAAATATTTGTAGTACTTACCTGAGAACGTTTACTGATCTTCTTTATAAACTCTATCACGTAACCCATTGTGTCATGCCGTACGGCTTGAACGAGTTGCGGTATGTAGAAAAGTACAGCTTCCGCTGGATAACTGCCTAACACTTCCACCGCATATTGCGCAGAAATCGGATGGTGCGGAAACTGTCGAGAGAAGTACGCAAGTGCCTGAATCGGCGTTACTCTTTCCCACGTTAACATGTACACTAGCTAGAAATTAAATCAATGGATCAGGATAACTTATAAATAATATCATTCGAGCGAATTCGATCTTACCTCAGGTACATCATTCAATAATGTATCTGTAGTAACCAGATATTGCAAGGCTTCCGGAATATGCATAACTGGTACAGGTTTCTGACGAACCAATCCACATATTTCTTTAATAATAACTTCGGAATTCTTTAATCGAACTGGCAAAAATATAGCGAGAATAGGACTGATTTCCCACGCTAGTCGAGTGTATTCGCGCCATCGGTCGTTCATTCCTTTTGCACGCCACTCCGCGATACTTGATTCTCCTGGAAGTGCAAGTTCTTGCCTTCCACTAGGATTTCTCCAGACCTGTAATTCAAATCACGTTGAATAATACGAAGTACGTTGAATTGGAAATAAAAAGGATATTTCACTCACCAATAACATTTCTATTTCAACTGCTAACAATTCGAGGATTAAATTTCTCTTCTTTATATAATCCTTCACGAAGATGTTAGCGTTCATTACGCGCTTGCTACGATTACTACGTTTACCCAATGTATTGCTACTGGTAGACATTGGTACCGTACTAATCCAAACGCTTGTAGGTGTTTTCGTAAATTCATTCGTTGTACCCAAAGTTGTACTCAAAGAATTGATCGTTTCACTGGGTCCGAAACCACTGGTTGAGTACGTTTGGGGCGTTAACATTTCAAATTCACTCTCGTTACCGCTCATTACTAAATATTTTTTGTCACTATGCATTACCTAAGATACAATAAAATAAAAGGTTACCAATTAAGCAAGCAAATGAAGAATTCTTTATGTAAAAGAATGTTTCACTCACTTGCCAGAAACGTATAAGCGTAACCAAATCCTCGTGCAATTGTTCTATCTCCTGCGTTGGTACTTGGCGATCGCGGCAGAAATAATCCAAACAATTACAATATATACGTTCTCGTAATACATTTTTACTCAATGTCCTGCAAATAGAATTTAGTTTTTGCCCATCTAATCATTTTAGGAATATCATTTGTCTTATCCAATAAGATACCTTGGTAATATGTCGCCTTGAAGAAGGAGTAACCCACAGGAAAGCAACTTAAAACGTACACCGACTGCAGCGATGTGTCGACTTAATCCAGGCTCTTCTCCGGACGCGCCAACAGTCATAGGAAGTGATCGATGTAACAGTATGGCGATCATATCAACCGTTTCTTGACAGCAATACTTCGCAGTTTCGATTAGTTCCACGATAAATGTCACCCAAATATCGTGAGGTTTCACCTGCGGTGGATTCGGACTTAACTTGCAGCCCTCGTATACTGCTAGCGGACTATTTTCCTCTTCGTCCGGTGCGAAGAGACCCATTCTCTTGTCAACGGTGTATTGCCACGCAACGAGCATCTCTTGCAAGAAACGTAATTTTAAATCCGGTCGCACGGTAAGTATCCATTGCCAACATTCGACTGCTGTAGTCATAGCCGTAGAAGTAAACAATTCGATCTGCGACGAGGCAACTGTATGCAACAAACGTCTATGTGTTCCTGAAAGTGTGAATTAAAAGATGTTACAAATTTAAGAAACAGCGTGCAAGTAATTCACAGAAAATAGTATTATGATTACCAGGCACGGAAATTAGTAACGCAGTAGCTCGCCAAAGAGCACTACGATGTTCGACATCATTTCGATCACGGCAGGTCATCCATACGGCGTCGATTAACAAATCGACAACCTTATTTCTAATCTCTTCATAGGACATCGCAGTTGTAGACGATTCGGTATGCGCCAGCGATAACATTCCCGCTATTTCTCCAGCATATCGCGATCGCGTTGACATCATCGATAGAAGCCACGAGCTAGCTCCCTTCGGACCACGAGGTCGTTTATCCAAGGAATTAGTCTATAATAAACATTTTCTGTGATAATACATTTATAAAAAAAATCGTCTGAAATACGTTTATATCGAAAGGCACACGTTCGTACATTTGGGAAAGTCGAACTCGGTACAGCAAGATCCACGAATTCAAGCACCGAATCCGTAGACAAACATAAGCCAGAGTGATGTTTGAATCCGGAAGATGGAATTTGATTTACATACTCTTGTAAATGTGATCTAGTGGCCTGCGGTGCCCATTTCATTGCTTCTTGCACTATACCTTTACATCTCGCAGTAAAATCCTTCACAATAATCTGTGAAACGATATGTAGTTTCAATACAATTTAATTCTATAAGATAATAATGTAGTGCACGTACCTCTCTTGCTTCCAACGTGTCCATAAGTTCAATACTGTATGGTGTACCAGGTATTCTTAAGATTGGTGTTTCTTCGTTTGGGTCAATTTGTAACGCGAATGACAAAATCTGTAATGGCGCAATTAAATGAATGATGCGTTAATGTGCACGAAAATAGAAATCGTACCTGTAATATGTCCAACATGCTCCAAAGTACTTTACAATTCCACAAGAGATGCGGAAACGCATCGACCAATGCACTGAGGTATTTATCCGCTATGCGCCTAATTTGTTTATGTACATGATTAAAATACACAAGGAGGAATTGAGCGTGATTCTCGAGTTCTTTCTCGCGCCTCTCGTCTTTCGGTTTACGTTGCATAACGTCCTTGAATTTTACAAAAGCGGAATCAGCGACGCAACATATGCATTGCCACATACCGCTTTTATCTTTCTGCAAATCTGTATCGCATAAATATTCCATTATCGGCTGCAAACTAGGTTGCGGATTGTTCGCCACTCTCAATGTTTCTAGCGAATACACCGATAATAAATACGTGCATTGTGCAAACTGTAGTTTTGTTACGTATTGCGATATGTCATTTGTCCTATGGGAACACAATTCTTCAATTACTACTTTCTTTTTAAACATATTTGTGAGAAAGATGGGAAAAGATATGTACCGTGTGCTTAATTTTAATATTTGACTTCTCAATTCTTGTAATTCGTTTAGGGAGACGCTGTCGTTACGTACAGCCGAAGTGTATTGCAACTCCCTCATTTCCAATCGTGCGCTAGTTTGCGAAATAAGATAAGGTGACTTCACTGCAATTTCCTTGACACCTTCGTACCATTCCGCGGGCCACAATCTTGACGCTTGATCGCCAGCGAAGCCCATTACGACGCAGTAAAGCCAGAAATCTTTGAAGAGCTTCAAAAGTCTCTTTTGCGGGTGTCTGATCGGAGGGAGTCGTCGCACTAGTATAGCAATTACAGGAATGAGCACGCCCAAATGTCCTGCACTGCTTGCTGCTTTCTAATATAGAGCGCAATAATTAAAACAAGTTTCTATAAGTATTGATGCAATTGTTAATGAATATCAATTCACTATCAATTCTAATTACCGTCATCGTAACATTAGTCGATACTTTATCACTGGCCCGTTTGCCTTCCAATCCAAGCTGAACAAAAAGTTCGAGCAAATGGAGTAACAAATCGTCCAGCTCCGTTTCACCCTGTAAATTTGCTGCTATATTCGCAAGAGCATTTGTAACCGCTTTAGCAACGTGACAATACTGTTTACGATCATCGTTCGAGGCATAAGTAGCGCTACTGGAGCCCAGTGACATAGAGAACATTTGCATTATACCTTCGTAAATCTGAAACCACAGTTCAGTCTCACACAAACAATTTTAAAGTAAAAATTAATTAGCTACTATAAATGAAATTAAACTGAACTTTTGGCTCGCATTTTGCAATGATCATACATCCTAACTGATCGACGATCAAGAAATCAAGATCGCTCGGAGTACGACAAAATAATTGTTGAAAGAATGGAAATATCGTTCGCATAGTTTTTGGAGTGTCTTTCAGCGCGACGGCGACGTGTCCCAGCATAATCACTATATTCTTCGAAATTAATTCACTATTCGATTTATCATCAGATTCACTGAAAGTATTCAAATAGATATATAAGTGAGAAATCGAACAGCAGTGCGCAAATTGATAAAAGACTGTACCCATCGCATATATCGGCGGCAAATAATCTATTCGACACGCTAGCAACTAATGCCGGTACACAATCTGGATTAACAGAATGCGCAGCTTCCAGAGCGATGCAAAGATTGCCGATAGCTGCGTCTCGTAATTTCTCAAAGGCTGTTAGCAGCGAGGAAGTAATTTGCTTCGGATCGTGTATATCCTTCCCTTAAAAGCAATCATTATCTTATTGATTTTTCGTGTAATATAACGTTATACATTAATCTGTTATTTAATAATTTTACGTTACCTCTTTCACTGTGTTGACGATATAACTTAAGAAGTATAGGCGATGGGACAACAAGAAAGTCCCGAAGATAATAAATAGATGTACTCGCTATGTTAGGAAACTTCTGTGCTAATTTCCCTAATCCTTCAAGGCATACCATCAGTAAAGGCATGTGCGCCAGCACCAGTTTTGGTCCATGATTGGAATTAATCTTTTCTACTAAACGACCGCATAAACTATCCGCACCTGAAAATAATGATATTTTGTTTCACAAAAGATATATGTGCATGACCATTAACAAATTGAAGAACTGTTGTTAATTCTAAGAATTCCTATCAGGAAATGAAAAACTTTATATAAAGATTAATTTCTCGGTGACTACATTTTAGAATGTATGGATGTACCGTGAAAATGGTTTTGAATAGTCTCGTCGTTCATTTTCATTAATACTTGAACAAATAGTTAGAGCGAGATAAAAAATGACATTCAGCAAAATAACAATTAAAAAAGTTAACAGGAATCCGCGTTAACGCACTGTAAAAGGTATATTCGTTAGTTAAAACTGTTGAAAGTTATTGAAAATATAGGACAGTTAATCGAAATGCAATATAAGCGATAATTCGAATACCCTCGCCGATCAGCATTGAACTGATATCTGCGAATAGCGCGGATAAATCATACTGGTCTCTCACTGGAAAAATAATGTAATAGATAATCCTATCAATATAAAAAACTTGGATTTAAAAAACTAATAATTATACTGGAACATAACAAAATTGAAAATAAATCTATATGGTTCGGGAACGTATACAAACGTCGATCAGAATTTTGCTTACCAGTTTCATCACCGATCGCCCAGACAAGGAGATCGACGCACGCAGAATTAGCCATTACGTTTACTTTAAATCTATTTACAGTACGAAAATTAGTATCCATATCTTCGCGCTCGCTCGCATCGTGTTGACGCGATTGCAGTTCCGTTTGCCCGGATAAGAAAAGGCCTTTAACGAATTCTTGCACGTCTTTCGTGAAAGGAGTAGGCAAATCTCGTTGATTTTGCAACAATTCTCGCAAAAGCGCAACCATTACTAGATTCATAGTTTCGTTAAATGTTCGGTACGGAAATATTTGCACCTGTCCAGAATTGTAAACCTGGATAATGGAGTTAGGTGATTAAATAAAAAATTAATTAGATAATAAAAGTCTGTTGTATAATAACGCAACTAACTTGTTGAGCTTCCTCGTCAAGAAACATTAAAATTTCTTTGGTAAGCAGCTTTTTTGCCAAGGCCAGTACACTTTGCAGATGTACCACGTTAAACTGCATGCCGGCCCTTCGCTCTGGACTTTCGTTGCATCTCATTTGAGGAAACTGATTGAAACTCGATCCGTATCTGCTAAAAAAATATGTAGCCGGATCGTAGGGCACCGATGAATATGATTGCAACGACGGTCGTTTTGCACAAGGATAGTCGTGATCTATGGTTAACAGGCTTGGAACATTGTCTATAGCTGGATGAGGATTCAAGTTACCACTTAAAGAACGAGGAATAATCGGTCGGTAGTTGGAAAAGCTATGATGTTTCTTATCCGTTGTTAAACGCATTTCTTTATTTGGTATCGAGAGTGGAGGCTCTGGTCTCGGAAAAATACGACATAAAAGTGGCGGGTCAGTATACGCGAATCGACCCATAGACCGAGCTAAACCGATTAACACTGGAACTATACATTTACATAACGACACTGAAATAAATATTTAATTAGCATTTTATGCACGATACTAAACAAAATTTAATCAATAAGCGAAAAAAATATTTACATTTCGCTTGCATCCCCCTGTTCCCATTTTGATCTTTGAATCCTCTTATGAGATTCGTTAGTACTGCTAATATTTCCACTTGGGTAGAAATAATTTCTTCGCGTACAGGTTCACACCTGGCCGCAACATCACTGAGCAATGTATTCAAGCAGAAACTAAACCGTTCAGCAACAGGAACACGTTCGCTAGGTGAACATCTGACTTCATCCAACCACACAGCTTTTGGAAGACCACGTAGCAATCGGAGAAGATAAGGTAATATCTTGTCCCGATGCTGCAGACCAGATCCCAGGAAGTATATTCCCAGTGCAATAGTTGCATCTTGACCTCTTTGGTCTAGCCTATATATACCCTGAGCAGATTCTTGTGGACATAATTTGAACAGCTGTGTGACCTATTTAAGACAAGTTACTACATGTTTTTATTTAAAAAAAAAACAATTCTTGGAAGATATACAAATTCTCATGAAAACTCCACAGGCATTTATTAATAAAATACATTTCATATTGTAAATGAATTAAAGAGTACATCCTATGACTTAACAATGATAAAATAATGAACAAAAAGATGTGGTAAATGTATAAAAACATATTTTTCAAATGTTTATTCATACAGTATCTGTACAAACAATTCTGAAATAGCGATTTATGCTCGAGACCCATGTCAAAATTGATTTGTTTCAAGGTGTTGTGATATTTAATTATTTATTACAAACATTTCATTAGAGCATGAATCGGCTAATAAATTGTCCTTCGAATTATATCATAAGGTGAGATATCAGGACATCAGCTGACACATCCTTAAAATTAACCTATTACTAAGTGTCAACTTTCCTGTGCGTACAATATTAATTGAAAATAGATGATTAAGAATTAACTCACCTTCTCCCATGGTGTAGGCTTGATTGCTGCTAGACACCTGGCCAAGTGTTGGACGGCTTTCGAGAAAAATAATTTCTCGTCTGCCACCATTTTGCCTACTTGCTTCCGTAAATATCGTCTGCTTGTCTGACAGACTGATTCGTCTTCCCGTGTTCGAATTGTCGATCTCTCGAACTCCATTTCGGTTTAAATGTTAAGTCGGCTTTGCAAAATACTCAGGAAATCAAATTCTAATGATTAAAACTTCGTTCGTAACATGCAATTGTGCATATAATATAACAAGAAACTAAAATAATTTCATTTGAAATAGAATAATATATAATTTGTTCGCATTTACATCTGAATTATACGAAATAATGGGTCTCAAATCAATAGTGATTTGAACTATCGATATATTTATTCGATTTCGTTCTCGATTAAAAATGGATGCCATGTCTCGAAGTTCACTTTGAATTTTGTATCGTTCGTAGTGAAGTGCTAGTGCGCGAATTAAATAAATTCTTTTATATATTAAAACTACAGTGTTTGTACATCAATATTTAATATCTGTGCATGGGGATCATTCAAGAGAAAATGCTGTGGAAGGTGTTTGGTAAGTGTATATATTAAACATTCGCTTTTATTTAAAAATTGTCCAAACAAAATTCAATATGGTTAGAAGCATAAAATCGGAGAAACAATCTCTTCGAGTATGTTTGTCTCTTACATTTCATTTCCATATTGTTGAAATAACGCGAAATTACGGCAACGGTGTGAACAAAAGGCTAAATAGTACAAACTTAAGATCAACCACTTCTATGTACACATATTTATGTTACAACTTTTAACCCACGATATGTAATACTCTAACTTTTTACAATGTAGAAGAAGAATCTTCTTTGACAAATTTATATTGTCAGCATTGTATCTCTGGGCGAACTTTGCCG